CCCCCGCGCTGCCGCCTGCCGCCGCCGCCCCTAGAGCTCCGCGCCCTCCCCGCAGCCCTTCCTCCGGCTTGCTCGCCGGCCCGCCGCAGGCCCCGGAGCGGCGTCGCCGAACCTTTTCTTTCTCGAGAGCCAAGCGGCGCCGCGAGGGGAGGTCTGAGGGGATCTTCGTGTCCGCCGAGCCCCGTGGACACCCGCCAGGGGCTTCCGTACCTGGCCGGCTCCACCCGCGGCCATCTTGGAAGTGGGCAGCGGCCGGGAGGGGGAAGGGGCACGAGCGGGCAGGGACCAGGCGTGGGGAGCCGAGCGGCGGAGCGCATCGATGGGCGCCCCCACCCCAAGGCGGGTGTGCGGGGGAGGAGGGGCCCGGTTCGCGCTCGTCCAGCAGCCGGAGGCTCGTGCGGGTGATCCGCGACTTCGGGGCCCAGGCCCGGCGGCCTCGGGAACGTCGCTTCGGCGTCCTTCCTGCTTAGCCATAGGCCCTTAATCTGTAAAACGGGCTTTTCTGGTAGTTGTCCTTGATTGAGCTCTTACCCAGTGCCTAGCGCCTGGGGAGCTTTGAAAATTCCAAAGCCCAGGCCATGCATCAAGCCAGTTAATCCGGAGGTGAGATACAGTTTTGAAAGTTGTGTAATGTGCAAGGTTTATGGACCGCTGACCTAGCGTTTATGTACATTATTTTGCGAAGCATTATAGAGTGGCATGGACAGGGTCTGTGATCAAAGCCGTGGAAGAGAAGTGGCTTGACCAAGGTCCCAAGGGGTCAGAAGCCAGATTCGCCGCCCAGACCACCTTCCAAAACCTTGCAAGGCCCTCAGTGAGAAAGCTCTTGTTAGCTAGTAACTGATCCTCGTCCTAGAATTTAGGCTTCCTGAGTTACACCGGCCTTATCTTGTTTACTCCTCTGTTCCCTGGGCCTGGCAAACAGTAGACAATTAAATATTTGCTAAAGTATCATTACATTCTAGGAACATCAAGGCAAGAAAGACTCCGGTGGCTGGGAGCCAGAAGGCTTGGGTTATACACTGTACTTGGATCCTACCAACTAGGACCCCTGAGCGCTGTCACAGGCACAATTACCAGAGAGGAAACCTCAGAACGACCAGCTGAATGCAAGGGAAGACTTGAGAGCAGCGCAGTCAGGGACAGGAAGGGGAGTCTCCCCTCACAGAAAGCATCAGGAAGCATGCAGTGGGGTATTGCTTTGGGCCATGGCCATGCAGGCTGGGCCACATAACCCCTACCTTGACTCTCCTGTCTCGTAGTTCTGCAAGCCCTTAGTATCTTATGATGGCAGGAAGGGTGAGAACATTAAAAAGGCAAGCCAGCTTGTAATAGAATACATGAACACCCTCGCAGGGCTTGGTGTGTGATTGAAGCTTTAATAAATGCTTACATTTCTAGGTGGTTTTAAGGAAAAATAATACCAAGTCTCCAAATCCCAGCGTGGCCTCCCCTGCTTACTTTAAGAAAACACTAACGGGAAAGTACAGGCTTGCTTCCGGCCTGACTTAATTCACAATTTAATACATCCGATTAATAAGTCTGTCTGTACAGTGTTCCTTCCAAGTCCTCAGATCCCTTCCAGCCCTCATTCCGAGTCTTAGGGCTTTAAAACCCCACGATGAGAAGGAACCATTGTTCCGAATCCAGAACTGAAAGCATCTGTGGTCCACAGATTTACATCCGGCGCCCTCTGTCTGCCTTTTCTTCACCCCCTCCCTATCCTGCTGCCCCCTCAACCCCCTTGCCCCAGCCCAGAGCCCCTTCTGGAGCCTTCAGTCACTTCCTTAGCCCCTCAGTGTGGTTTGACCCACATTTCACCCTTTATCATCAGCACCCAGAAAGTGCTCTAGATAAATCATGGCAACTTCAGTCTAAGAAAAACAGTGGAGAAGATCGGCTGTGTGGCTGTATGCCTTCATGTCACCTCTCAGAACCTCAGCGTGTCCCACCCCCACTGATGCGGAGTTAGCTCTGTTGGGATGGTCAGCGCTAGGTCCCCCTCTGCTGGCGAACTGCTGACTGGGCGAAGCCATTCAATCCCCATACAGACTTAACCCCGAACTTCCCCAAGAGATTGTCACCCACAGATGTCCCCCTGAGGGCTGTAAAGCTGTGGCTCTATGCAGGCAAGCACCTGGCCTTCAGCTCCCTGTCCTCAGTTCCAGGCACAGAACGCCTGGGGCTGCCTAACCCCTCCTTCCCAACCGTCCCCACCTCTACAAAGCTCATGGCACCTCCGCCTCCCAAGCCGTGTGAGGCTTCAATGAGTCGAAGCCATGGGAGTGATGGCTGTGTCAGTTTCGGACATATGTGGGGAGTCGTGCCCCCTCCCCCCAGCAACAGCATGTTGATAAAGAGTGTTGCTCAACCTGCCAAGGTGAAGAGAGACCTGGGACCCCTCAGAGACCCCACACAGGGACTTCAGGCCTGACCTCTGAGTCTCCATGAGCTTGCTAAGCAAGTGTGGATGCTGTGCCCGGGGTGTCCAATATCCATGGAAACCATCTCTGAGCCCACTCGGTGCCAGCCCCATGCTGGGCTGTAGGAACACCAGAACGACTGATAGCCCACAATCGCTGCCGTCACAGAGCCCCGGGCTCCCAGGGCAGACAGCACCTCAGCAACGCAGCCACATCTCTCTGCCAGGAAAATGGTTAACTGACCAAATGCAGACCCCAGAAGAGTCGTAGGCAGGACATCAGAGCTGGCGGGACCCTTGCTGTTCCTCAAGCCCACCTCTCTCGTTATTCAGAGGGGAAGCAGACCCTGCGAGAGACGGGAAGGGCCAAGGCCGGGTGGGGCAGGAATGGGCAAAGGACCCAGGCCAGGACCCCACTCTGCCGCGCCCCTGAGCATCTCTCCTCAGGAGCCATGGGGATCTCACCTCCCGGATGCACATTTGGCGCTCGACTCTTCCCCACCCCCCGCACGTGAGCCCCGCAGTGAGCCCCGCAAGTTTTTGTTGGGTGGATGAGTAAATCTTGCTCGCATCTGCACCTGGAGCCACCCCAGGTGCCCCGTGCTGTGCTGACTGTTTCACCTCGGGAACCACCACTGAGCGCACCACCTGCCGAGCTGGCCACTGACGCGCGTTTTGCAGGTGAAGAGATGAGGCCAACTCAGCCCAGGTGGCGCAGCTTGCCCTCCACTCATCAGAAGGTTCTGCTCACCGGGGGCCGGGGCACGAATAAAGGCAGCCACGCCAGGCCTTAGGAGCGCGCTCCGCAGTGGGCCCGCCCCGCGGGGCAGGGGCAGAGTGCCCAGCGCTCAGAGAGCTTCCCGTTGGCCCAAAGCCTCTCAGAAACCCGTGGGGAAGCTCTCTTCTGCCTTTATTTTTTGCAATGTCACATCCTTCACCATGGAGATGGGAGTTCTCATTTTTAGGACACGATGAGATGTGTCTTTTGTTGGTTCTGGGTGTCTCTTGTTGATTCTAGAAAATGAGCAATATGCGGGAAAAACAGGCAGGAATTGCCTGGAGAGCAGGTCAGCCTTCCAGCAACCACAGGCACATGGGAGACGGAGATACGGAAGAGGAAGCGTCCAAACCGCGAGTCGCCACCACGAATGAGTCGCTGCAAGAAGCAGCAAGAAGCAGCACGCAGACCCCACGCCAGAGCCTTCGGCTTGTATTTTACTCACCATTTTAACTAGCGCCGTTACCTGCGTCCTACCCGCACTAGATTAAAATCAGTGACTTCAGGGAGGTGGAGCTCCTAGAAGCAGCGTACTCATGACAGGGAGGAGGCAGAAGCAGAAGAAAAGACGACAGCACTCAGCACCCCACGGTCTAATGCCCTGGGACCCCAAATCCAGGCCAACAGTATTGCGAGAAGATATTCACCACCGTTATTTACAACAGCGAAATGGACATACCGTCGGTGTCCAGCCACGAGGGCAGGTTAACTAAATGGAGCCATCGAAAGAGCCTTTAAAGAATGTATTATATAGCACAAAAGATATGCTTAAGTTATAAGGGCGATGCTGAATCTTACAGTATAATCGAAGAATACGGGATGTACAATCACCCCCAGGAATAAAGACAGGAAGAAACAGCAGTGAACAGCAGAAAACACATGAATACCTTGGTCCCCGCACATTTTTAACTTTTAGATTTCCCCAGAACACAGATATGTTCTGTTTACAATGAAGATTTGCTAAGATGCTTACCAGTGGGTGAGTGACAGACCGTGAGAAGCACAGTAACCTGGGGTCATTGGATGACGGCTCTGAGTCAAGGGTCCTTCTCACTAAAGCCCCAAGATAAGGCAAATACTGTTCCCATTTGTGAATGAGGACACTCAAGCTCCAAGCGGTAGGTAATCAATGCAGGGCCAAACGACACTTGCTGTTACGAGACAGAGCCGTGGGACTGCAGTCTGTGTGGCTCGCCTCCCTGACGGCGTCTCTAACCGGCCCAGTGGCCCGTCCACGACGCTGTATCATCGCCCCATTTTACTGGGAACGCTTGAATCCAGGTGGGTCTGGCCCCAAATCAAAGGTCATTCGTTCTCAGAGTATCCACAGTAATTGACTGCAAGAAGTAAGTCACAAAGAAACCAAAGATCCTCCAAAGAGTGGAACCCATGGCTGGGGCAGGGGTGGGACGCAGAGAGGCCCAGGGGCCCCGCTGTGGCCTGTGGCTCACTGAGAGTTAAGAGGTGCCCAGTGCTGGAGGCGCCCAGGCTCTAGGTATGAAGGAAACAGAACAGAAAGCATGTGGCGGGGGGCGGGGTGGGGGGGTGGAGTACAGCACTCCACAGTGGAATTTTCCGAAGAGCCTTGTTTTTTAAAGGCATTACCCAGTTGCCTGCTGCTGCCACCATGGAGAGCAAAGCCAGATTTAGAGGCTGCAGGAACCAGGTCTCACATGGGAGCCACGTGCAGTGGGCGCAGAGGGCAGGTGGGCGGGGCCTGCAGCTCCTTCCCACCCCTGATGACCCATTGTGGAGAACACCCTCCCCAGCCACACGTCAGGCTCTGTCACTGGGCCTGAGGTCTCTCCACGCTCACAGAACCTCCTGGTGCCCTCCGGGGCACCCCAGACTCTCGTGTCCCTGCCTTTGCACCTGCTCTGCCCCCCGCCTGGACCCTGGGAATTAAGTCCTGGTCCCCTCCAGTGGCGGCTCAGAACAGAACCCAGGTGCTCTTGCCTTCAAAACGTCGTTCCTGACACAGACGGAGCTGGCCCCAGTCCCCGCCTGTCTGCAGAAACGGGTTCC